CTATTTATTCAATATAGAAATTGTACACTTTTCTTTTTTCTTCTTATTTTTATCTTTCTCTTTTTTTCAATATTTTTATTTTTGACGATTTATTTCTCATAGTAGAAATGTCAAACACTCGATGAGAAATATTAAAGATGACGAGCACGTTTGTTGTGTAATGCAATCGTTACAGCGCTATTCAGAGATAATATAGCGTGGATCTGGTCAAAGGAACCTTGAAATTTAAATTGCACAGCTTTCAGGAAAGAATTTGTTACGACTATTATTATATCTTTTTTGTTTCAAAAATATTTATCATATTTTTGCTAATTTTTAATTTTTATTTTTAATTTTCATTTTTCATAAAAATTTTTAAATTTTATGTTAGATTAATTAAAGTTTTCCATGTTTTAAATGTCAACTTACTTTTATTTACTTGTTTAAACATATTTAAAATACATTCGAGAAAAAAAAAGGAATATTTTTAAAAAATATATTAATTCGCGGGAAGTTATAAAAATGGAAAAATTTATAAAGAAAAAAGACCAGAAACGAGTAATAAAGTTCATAGCACTGTTTTGTTATTTTTATCACAACATTTTAAAAATGAAAAATTGGATTTTCTAAGTAAGAAAAATTTTAATTTTATCGCAAAAAAATTTTTTGATTATATTATTATTTTGTTAATTCAATTGTTTATGTTAAATAAATACTATGTGCACAAAAAATTATTGAAAATTATTTTAATATTTTAAATATAATAATTTTTGCACGTAAAAATTTAAATATAAAAAGAATAAAATCATATGATAAAAATCGAAGTTGTTAAAAAATTATTCTCGAATCTGAAAAAAAAATGAATGAACAAATTTGAGACAATTAATTAAAATCTTTAATGAATTTAAATTATAATATTAAAAATAATTTTAAATTTTTGAGTGAAAATTTCTACATGATAAGTGGAATTTTTATATAATTAATTGATGAGGATGAATTTAATAACAAGATCTTTACTCTTTTACGAAGGATCTTCCATCTACTGAGTATCGAAGTAGGCGTCGTTAAGAAGGCGTCGAGGACGCGGAAGATCGATAAGATTTCTAAGAAAGAACGTTCTATTTTAGGGTAATTCATTACCTTGGAGCTAGGATATTTCAAGAGTTTTCTCAAACGAGATTCGAACAGAGGAAGAAGTGTTGAAAAATGGTGACTTTTGTTTTGAACAAATAATCAACAATATTTTTCAATAACTCTAATCATTATTCATTTAACATATTACATTTATATTCGTGAAATTTTAAATTCGACAATTTATATATTTTAAAAAATAAAAATTTTAGTAATACATGAAATGATGTTTAATGCGATAACTCAACATTGATTATATCAACATATTATAAAGGTACAATATGGCTACGAATTTGTCCATTTATATAGTTATCAACTATCCCCACTATTTCTTATTACTGTTAATTCGAAGGAAGTTTCACTATTAACCATGATCTGCATTAAATCATGCTATCAAATTATCTAGTACAACAGATATATTTCGAATTTTTCATTTAATGGAAAATGTTTATCCATTAAATTCTATAAATTAATTTTCACAAGAATTAATTTTCAATTTGTTAACAAGTTATTTCACATGCAAAAATCTAATATTAGTGATCCGAGTTGTCAGTATGAAAGCCTACGTGACAAGACAATCACCTGTTTAATTTTTTCACAACGTGTTTTCGTTCGAAACACGTTGAAATGACACGGCGATAAAGCCGAGGCATTCACGATGCCATGCCTTGTCGCAGGTATAAAACTTTTTAGCATAACGTGTTCGCTGATTGTAGCGTTAGATGAATCGGAAAAGCTCTTCGACCTTGCGCTACGACGTTATCGCGTTTGCGTCACAATATTTTCTCGTCACTAACACAACGAACGAGCAGAAATCGCTTTGAATGTGTCCGTGTTCTTTGTCCCCTCGCAGTATACACAGCTGTTCCATTATCGTTGTCTGTCGACATCTAAAATACACTTGCTTCTTATGCTTATACGTATACGTATACATTTATAAGACATTAATCGATTTGTAATAACTGTAAATGTGAAAATTATGGGTTATTTCGAACACAGTACGATGAGCAATTGAGATGAAATTTAAATTAATTTATCTATGGAGAAAGAATTTAGATTCGAAATATAAAATCTCGGTTTTAAATATTTAAAAGATACAGCTTTTAATATATAAAGTAAATCACACAATTGAGATTATATTTCGATTAAAAATTTATAATTTGGTTAAAAATTCAGTAATATCTGGATATATAGCCACGAATAGTTCCGAATAATCCCGAAGAGTTCCGACTATATATCTGGAGAAGTTTGTTTCCACGAATTTAACAATGTTATTTGACATTGGCTCATTATGCAGACAATGATAATGAAAAATAAAGTCCAAATGATTCTGTTAAATAATTATGTACAATTAAAATTATTAAATAAAAGATAAAATTAAATTTTAATTAAATAATATAAAAACATTTCTAAAAACATAATCTAAAAACATTTTTATTCATATAAAAAAAATTTTTTATTTTGTGCAATTATGAGCATATTAAATCGTATATTAATAATTTATAAACCAATATATGGATTAAGATAAGAATAAAATAAAGAGAATTGTAAAATCGAGTTCTCGAAACAAGTTTTAATATACTCAGAATTTCTTAATTTTAATAGAATTTTGATATATAATCTCAAAACATATATATAACGTCATATTCTATCTACTTCTTTCAATATCTACTTCTTAATGAAGATAACATTCTACTTTGTAAGTTGTTAAGAATGAAACTCACTTGATAAAGTTTCCAGAAACTTTTAGTATATATAGAATTATTTCCTCATATTTATTTATCATATAATACATTTCTTTATATTATATTGTATGTTTTAATGTAATAGATTACATAATTAAAAATTTAAAAAAATATATTGGAAATTATATTATATTAGATTATATTATATTATATTATATTGGATATATTTTTAAAAATGGAATATGAATTTACAAAAACTTGTAAATAGTATTTTGATCTTAATTCGAATACGAATAAAATATATTCTTGAATATAATTAAAATCTGAATTATCACGAACATGAGAAACAGAAAAACAAAAAGTTGTTTTTGTGTTTAATATAGTTTAATATTTTGCTCACTTTCCAAGAACTTTTAAACAGTATAAATGAAGTTTTTTTCGAATTATATACTAAATCATATTGTTCACGTGAATACAAAGTCGAAGAAACATTTC